TTTTTTTTTTTTTGCTGAGGAAGACTGGCCCTGAGCTAACATCCAGTCTTCCTCCAGTTTATGTGGGACGCCGCCACAGCATGGCCTGACAAGCAGTGCATCGGTGCACGCCCGGGATCCGAACCCCGGGCCGCCAGCAGTAGAGCACGTGCACTTAACCGCTATGCCACGGGGCTGGCCCCGAGAACGTTGTCTTTTGGTCTTGAACTATATAGCCAAGCCCTAACTCTGGGTGATAGAATTACAGGAAATGTCTAATTTTTTTTTCTGTGCTTTCTATATTTTTGATTTCTTTGATGCACGTATAATAAATTTAATACTAAAGAAAAGTAAAGAAATTTTTTAAATATGAAAAATAAAGTTCTGACTTCTGTGTATAGATTTGAAGGAGGGAAGGGCTTCCCTTTATGAATGAGTTCCCTGATGACATTTTCTGGCTGTGCTCTGTCTTATATTCTGAGTGCTTTATGCAGAGTAATTACATGAGAAATACATGCAGTTGAATGAATGCAGCTAATAACAATGAGAATTATGATGGTGACAGCAGCTACTGTTGTTGTGTTTTTACCATGTGCTACTGTTCTGAACTCTTTACATGTATCCCTTTATTTAATCCTATAAAGTCTTCGGAGGCAAGTCTCATTATTATCCTCACTTTACAGACAAGGAAACTGAGACATCGAAAAGTTAGATAGCTTTCCTGGGTGGAACATCTGTTCTGCCCTGTTGTTTCTCTTCTCAGCCGTTGCTGCGCATCTGCCCCGCATGGCAGCACCTTGACTGTGTCGCCTTTGCAATCCCTTATCTCTCGCTTTGCCCTGAGCCTTCTCTGCCTCTATTCTGTGGGACACCTGTGGGAGGCCATTCCACCCATCTGGCACCTGCACAAATCTGAGTGCGAGGATGGTCTCTGGAGCAACTGGTGACTAACAGGGCGTCAGAGTTGGTGGATAAAACTTTGTTACACAATCCTAAAGCACCTTCTACATGGTTCCCTGGAGGGTCCCCAGCGGGATCAAGCCTCAGTGGCCCACAGCAGTCTCTAATTTAGTACCCCACCCTTGACTGGCTTTTCTTCTCTCCTCAATTTACTCATCCCTGGCCCCTACTCCTATTTCCTGGAATTATTTTCCAAAATACATTATCTGTATATAAATGTATGTCTCAGGCTCTACTTTTGGGGGGATCCAATGCTAAGACACCGCCCAAGGTCACACAGCTGTTAAGTTGCGGAACCCAGGTAGGAGAATATTCACTCTATGTAACTAATAGTAAGCACCCAGAACCAGGATATAAATGCGTAAGTGTTTTTAAATGGGCGTGAGCACATAGAGGAGGGTGTGCACACACACTCAGATAGGTCTAGGAGTGGGATAAGTACATCAAATGTTAATGGATTTTTTTTCCTCTTATTTGTATTTTCTAATTTTTCTAACATGGCAGTGTGTTACTTATGTAATGGATGGAGAACAGGGTGGCAAACTAATTTATGCCAATGTATTCACATGGAACTCTTAAGTCCTTTTAGCAGACAATGGTAGCCATGGACGTACTTGCAGTAGATGTAGATTAACTGCTCTCCCACAGCCTCACTCTCAGCTTATCACAAAAGCAAGTCTCATAGCAGGCTCTGCCATACATGCAGACTTCTTAAGTAAGCATTCATTAGCAGGCACGCATAAGACAGTCCATGCAGCCTGCTCTGGAAGCTGATGAAGTCCCAGCTCTCTGCCCACTTAGGTACTGCAGCCACTCCCTGAATGCAAGATTCACAGGAGGAAGGCAGGAGAACATTCTAGATCAGTGGGTCTCAAACTTGAGCCGGCATCAGAATCTCCTGGAGGGCTTGTTAAAGCACAGACTGCTGGGCCCTGCCCTGAGCTTCTAATTCAGTGTGCACCGCACTCTGAGGTCAGTGATGTAGAGGCAGAACTTTGTTACTCTCTCGGACAACGGGGGTCAGGCAACCAGCAACTCCTGGTGGGGGACACAGGACCGTAGAGAGTTAGTCCCTAGTCTGGAGCACCGGCCCTGGGGTGTAGGTACAGGACACACTAGATTCTTTCACAGAAAAGGCATAAGGGTGGAGAATGCCTCTAAAAGGTTTTAGAGAATCCTGTTAATGTCATCAATGAAGAGCCATTTCTCTTGATCACTATGCTAGTTAGCAAAGCCTGCACATTGCTTGAGGTAAACACGGATAACTCAAGTGTGGCCTTACTCATGTAATGCTTATGTAATGGATGGAGAACAGGGTGACTGACTACCCCGTCGTGTGAATTCCTGGATAGGGCCCCTAGGATGTAACATAAATGAGCACATACACTTAATATCACTCATCCAAGCTGAACAATTTAGAGTCAATTACAGACAACATAATGGAAAGTTAATTAACAAATCAATTGGTGTTTGTTTGATCCCACAGACCGAGCCTGAAATCATAGAGGAAACCAACATCGACAGAGTTAACGAGCCCCGGGGCTACGCCAGGTCGAGGCCGGTGAAAGGCCACTCGGAGACCTCCACGCTGAGCTCCCAGCCCTCCATCGACGAGGTCAGGCAGCAGATGCACATGCTGCTGGAGGAGGCCTTCAGCCTGGCGTCCGCGGGCCACGCGGGCCAGAGCCGGCACCAGGAGGCCTATGGCTCAGTGCAGCACCTGCCCTACTCGGAGGTGGTAACCAGCGCTCCGGGGACCATGACGCGGCCCAGGGCTGGGGTGCAGTGGGTGCCGACCTATCGCCCGGAGATGTACCAGTACAGTCTGCCCCGGCCGGTAAGTCAGACGTGCCACCGCCTGCCATCCTCGGGTCAGCCGGCCCAGGGTGTCCCGACAGGGGGCTCAGAGCAGGGACTTCCCGTGATAAGCCACGTTGTGATTTGGAGATGAATTTTGCTGGGCTCTCATCGCATCCTCCACCGGTGATCCAAGGCCTAAGCCTCCTAGTCCCATGGGCCCAGGCATACAGGAAACCCTTACGTCCAACCCTGCACATTTCAGAATGAAGTCCCTTTCCCACTGTCCCTCCTGTGAAGGGCTGACCTCGTTTTTCATGCACTGGTGGTTTCCTACATTTCCAAGTGTGAGGACCTGCTTTAAACGTCAAAACTCATCGCAGAGCCTCCTGTTAGGGGCTGTGTGGCCTGGTGGTTCAGAGCAGAGGCTCCGGAGGCAGTGGCTTGACTTGGAATCCCAGCTCTACTCCTCACTTGCTTGTAACTTGGGGACGTTACTTAAATTCTCTACAGGTGAAATAAATAAGAAAAATAGCCTACTTCCTAGGTCATTGTGAAGATGAAACAGGTGGAAATATGTAAGGTACAAGAAGAGCTTGGCACACAGTCCGTGCTACAGAAGCATCAGTCATGATCATCCCATGAGTGGTAATTGCACGGCAGTGTCTGAGAAGGCACCCAATGACTGAAAGCTCCCATGATTTAAACAACAATTTTAATTAGCATTTAGGTCATCACCATAGCCTCTACGTATATCTTATTACAGAGACAGACATTGTTTTATAAGCCATAGGCCATAAAAGACAATGCTTTGTGCATGTGTATATCCCACCCTTGTAATCTTCCATGCCCTCTCCCCATGTTGATATGTAATGGCAATTAAAACTAATGTTTATTGAGTGTTTCACTGTTACTAGGTACTCATCCAGATGTCAGGTGTGTGTTAACCTGACCCTCATTTATTTAGTCTTCACTGCAAGCCTCTGAGACAGATACACGTTTTATCTCTATTTCACACATGAGGACACTGAGGTTACACAGCTTGTGTAAGTCACACAGCCAGGAAGGCGCAGCACCGGGGCCCCAGGCCAGGCGGTCTGGCGCCTGAGCCCATGTTCTTAACCAGCATGTTGTTTGGCCTTGTGCTGTGTGACATTGCTTCTCTATTGAGTTATTTCTTTCATCTGCAGTAGACTATTTGGGACACCTAGGGGCTTGTGGAGCTTTGTGATAACTCCATACCCCCCCTCCAAAGTCCACACGACACTGGCGCTTACTCAATTGCTGTAATGGTACGGAACTACGTAGTCTGCACACTAGTGTGAATTTCCTTATTGTTCCCCTTTGCTCCAGACGCCTCTGTCTGGGTCACTGACATGTCTCCCTTTGGCACTGCTCGTGGTCCCTCAGCCTCTCTCTGTCAGTGCCTTCTTTGAACATCAGTCTGTAACCCTCCCCATCCCTGTGGATTAAGCTTTTAGCAGGAGAGACTGAAGAGTATCTGACACTGAACCTCTGGGGCAGGGGCGGCTGTGCTTGGGTGGGGTCGTCATCATTGCAAGGGTTTGTCCTTGGGTCGGGAGGTGCAGAATTTCCATTTTGTCCATTCACTCCAGGGTGGTTAGACCCCGGGGATCTGACTTATGCTGATTAAGCTCACATCAGCTGCTTTATTATTAGGAACACTAACTTACAAACCTGCAGTGAGAAGCCGGATGACCAGGTGGGCCAGAATACTTAAGTTTGCAGGTCAATGTGGTCTTTCATTAAGTAAAAGCCAATTTAGGGAAAGTAAGACATTATCAGAAGGAAGCCATCTTTCTCGGTCTGTGACATGCAAACCCAGAGAGACTAGTCAACAAGGGAAATAGGGTGAAGTGGGGAAATTGTTTTTGTATCCCATTTCCTGAGATATAACGGGAATACAATGCAAAATTCTTTTTAAAAAAAAGAATATTTTATTGCGTTAACATTAGTTTATAACATTATATAAATTTCAGGTGTACATCATTATATTTCGATTTCTGTATAGATTACTTCATGTTCACCACCTTGCCTCTGGGCCTGTGGGGTCACCACCTTGTGCCCTGTCCCCTTGCCTTTCTGCCGTGGTTTCTCATTGTGGTGCCAACAGTCTGTTTCTCTGCGGGTGCTCGTGGTGTCTCCAGGCCTCGTGAGGGGCTCTGGTCCTGGGCGGGTGTGAATAGTTCTTCTTTCGGAAACAGCCTAACCCGCAAGAACTCTCCTTTGCTGTGTGACATGCTTGAATGATGGTGTCAGGAATGCTTTCTTTTTAAATTGTGGTAACATTGGTTTATAACATTATATAAATGTCAGGTGTACATCATTACATTTCGATTTCTGTATAGATTACATCACGTTCACCACCCAAAGATCAATTACAATCCATCACCACACACATGTGCCTAATCATCCCTTTCGCCCTCCTCCCTCCCCTCTTCCCTTCTGGTAACCACCAATCCAATCTCTGTCTGTTTGTGGTTGTTTGTTGTTGTTTTTATCATATACTTATGAGTGGGATCCTACGGTATTTGACTTTCTCCCTCCCTCTGACTTATTTCGCTTAGCTAATACCCTCAAGGCCCATCCATGTTGTCACAAATGGCTGGATTTCATCGTTTCTTATGGCTGAGTAATATTCCATTGTGTATATATACCACAGCTTCTTTATCCATTCGTCCGTTGATGGGCATCTAGGTTAGTTCCAAATCTTGGCTATTGTGACTAATGCTGCAATGAACATAGGGGTGCATGTATCTTTACGCATTCATGTTTTCATGTTCTTTGGATAAAT